ATATCGTAAGTCTACCATTGTTTTTTGATCCCTAATTTCTTTTTTGGAATATATATGTTCTGCAAATTCAACTCTGAATTGCCACAAATCCATCACTTGCCTGTTAGGACATAGACAACTTGCTCAGAACACAGGTTTATTATTTTCTAAAGTATCTAAATCAAGCAACTCATATGCATTTCCGTGTCTCATTTATAGATGGTCAGTCTAAAAACGTGTTTTCTTTCATCCTAAATGTATCAGTGTTCTTAAGTACTGTAGTCAGTGTCTAAAAAACAAAGCAGAAATAAAATCATCTTAAATTGTTGCTCAGCTTCAGTTATGCTTTGGTAGTGTGAGAGTTTGGGGAGAAGGTGGTAAGTAGGGCCAAGGGTAAGGGGCAATGGCGGTCTAGAGAACGGTAGGTGAGAAGCAAGAGTTGGAGGAACAGTGGTCAAGCTGTTGTTTTCAAAATGAAGAGATGGGGAAATAAAACAAGTAATACACTAGAGACATCATCTAAGTAATAAGCTAGCATAGACTTGTTAGCCAATTAATAATTTAAAATTCCAACATTTCTTCACCTATAACAAACATTCCTACAAGTTAAATGGTGTAACTGTAGACACAAAAATAAAAATATTTTATGATTCTTTTAAGGTGAATATTCAAACTACCAGTCAGACATAGTCTTTCAAGTGAGATATATAACAAATATCCCATTTGTTATATACGTTTTCCTAAATCTCAAAATTTATTTAAAAAAAAGAACCAAAATGTTTGACTGTATTATCCAGAGTCAAGAAACTGAATTCTAACATCTGGATATTTAAAATAATAAATCAAAAAGTCTTTAATTCTCTGCTCCTTAAACTTCACAAATGAAAGAGGGTTAGAACAGATCAGGGTCAGCAAACTTGTTCCATAAGGAGTCAGAGAATAGCTTAGGGTTTGCATACAATATCTATCGCAACCACTAACATCTGCCTATGCCATGTGAAAGACGTCATAGACAGCAAAGAAACAAATGAGCATGACTGTGTTAAAAAAAATTGAAAAAACACTGTATTTATGGACACTGGAATTTGAATTTCATATCATTTTCATGAGTTGCAAAATTTTCTTCTTTTTTTTTTTTTTCCAACCATTTAAAAATGTAAACCTTTCTTAGCTTGCAGTCCACACACAAACAGGTGGCAGTAGGGAATTGGCCCTCAGATCGTGGTTTGCTGACCCCTGTGATAGATGATAATTACCAAAATAAGCCCCTATTATGAGGTAGAGATTTTGCATATACAGTAAAACCTGTGAAAGCCAGAACCTGTATAAGGCAGAAACCTGTCAGAAAAGGAAAACTCAAATACTTGGATAGAACAAGCGATAGAAAAGTAGTAAGACTGCACCCTGTCAAAGGCAGAAAACTTCGTGAGACCAAGAAAAACAAGGCAGTTCTGTCTTTCACAGTTTTCACTATATTAGCTCTCATCTTCAACAGGTATTAGTTTTTCTGCTTTAAAGATGAGGAGAGTCCCTAAGAGGAGAAAAGTCAGGCGGCCTGAAGCCCCAGAGTATTTGAGTCCGAGACCATGCTCATTCCACCAAATCTGGTTGCCTCCCTGTTGTGATCCAAAAAACCAAACCAAACCCATTGCTGTCAAGTCAATTCCGACTCATAGCGACCCTATAGGATGGAGTAGAACTGCCCCATATGGTTTCCAAGGAGCATCCCGTGGATTTGAACGGCCGACCTTTTCGTTAGCAACCATAGCTTTTAACCACTACGCCACCAGGGTTTCCCCCTATTATGATAACCACTATTTATGGATCACCTACTATGGACCAGCACCATGCCTTTCACATACATTCCATCATTTAGCTTTCACAATAACACTTAAATCCAATATTATTATGCTCATTTAACAGAAGCAGAGGTGACTTCAAATAAGTTAAGTAAATGTCCAGGTCTCAGACCTGCTCAGTGTTGGAGCTGAGGGACACACCTAGATCTGACTTACCCCAAAGCGGATGTTCTCCCCACTGTGTGATGCTTCTTCACAGAACTCACTAAGCAAAGATGCCATGTTCCAATAATGGCAGTGAGTTATGCTGCATGCTTACCACGTGCCCGGCACAGTTTTAATCCCTTTGCACGTATGAACTGATTTCATTCACACAGCAGTGCTGTGAGGTAGGTGTCATTACTAAGGTCATCCACATTTACAGATGAGAACATTGAAGGACAGAGCTTTTATCATATGCCTAAGGTTATAATACTAGTCAACCTTCAAGCCCAGGAATTTTTGCTCCAAGTGCACATGCTTAACCACTAATGTTTCTTTCTAATTTTCATCAAACTTCTCTCTTCTTGGAGTCCCTGGGTGGTGCAAATGGTTAATGCCCTAGGCTGCTGATTGAAAGGTTTGTGGTTCAAGTCCACCCAGAGGCACCTCTGAAGAAAGGCCTGGTAATCTGCCTCTGAAAAGTCAGTCATTAAAAAATTTGTGGAGCATAGTTCTACTTTGATACACATGGGGTCACCGTGAGTTGGAATCAATTCAACGACAACTGGGTTTTTCTTTTGGTTCTCTCTTCTTATTATGCTAGCACTGCTTATTAGTGCTAATATGTGCTGAGAGAAAAATAGAAGGTTCTGTGATTACTACTATGAACAAATATTATTACTAAAAGTTATTATTCTTTCTATTCTTCACATAATACATATGCACATGCCCACAAAGCCAAGCCAATATCCTAATTAATCAAACCTTATTGAATTTTGTGTAGATTTCAGGGCTAGAGAAATTGAATAGGCTAAGAAAAAGATAATAAATTCGAAGCTTTCATGGAACCCCGGACTAGCAATGGCAACTAGAGCAATAAAGTTTGTTCCCTTTCTGCACACAATTCTGTTATCTTGGATTCTAAAAACGGAAGGTGATTCTCCTGTGGCTGTATG